GTAGTACCTATATATGTAATATCAAAGCAATTGGACTTGCGGTTTTTAACAAGAAGTCGAAAATATCACTTTTTACCAAAAATGGCAAAAATATTCACCAAAATTAGAGAACTGAAGATATCATCACAAAATGAACAAATCTGAGAAAGGTCTACATGTAGTATCTATATATGTAATATCAAAGCAATTGAACTATTGATTTTTAACAAGAAGTCGAAAATATCACTTTTTACCAAAAATTACAAAAATATTCACCAAAATTAGAGAATTGAAGATATCATCACAAAATGAACAAATCTGAGAAAGGTCCATGTGTAGTACCTATATATGTAATATCAAAGCAATTGGACTTGCGGTTTTTAACAAGAAGTCAAAAATATCACTTTTTACCAAAAATGACAAAAATATTCACCAAAATTAGAGAATTAAAGATATCATTACAAAATGAACAAATCTGAGAGAGGTCCACATGTAGTACCTATATACGTAATATCAAAGTAATTGCACTTGCGGTTTTTAACAAGAAGTCGAAAATATCACTTTTTACCAAAAATGACAAAAATATTCACCAAAATTAGAGAATTGAAGATATCAACATGAAATGAACAAACCTAAGAGAGGTCTACCCAAGGTACATATACACCAAGTATCAAAGCATTCAAGCTCATAGTTTTCAAGAAGAAGTCGAAAAAGTAAAACATTGACACGGACGACGACGGACAATCACTCATATGATAAGCTCCGCTCGACAAAGTCGACAGCGGAGCTAAAAACTATTCCTGTGATTGATTTGTGTTCCTTTACAGGTGTTGTTACGTCCACTCATTGGTCCCATGCTCTGTTATATAATGAATTATCTCAGCTTCAAAAAAGGGTGAGTTTTCAACTAACCCAAGACTATATGCACTTTTCAAGATATCTGCTATAACCACATAGCGACCACACCCAATGAACTCAATCATAGTCAGCAATTGACCGTAAATTAAGATTATAATGTCATCATAATATTGTATTTTGTACACCAAGAAATTGCCAGCTAACTTGCTGGCTAGTTTGCTGATGTTTATCAAGTTGGAACTGGCTGGGTCAAAAGAAGACATAGAATATCAATAGAAGATACATTTCTCTTTCAATTTATTTCATTCATTCTTATTTATTGATTGATGGCAAATGGCAAAGTTAAAAATAATATTAATATAAATAAGATAATTAATAAACAAATTATATGTACATGTACATTTATGTACTTAACATATTGGGTACTGTCATTGGTCACATATGTCTAATGAAACAGTGAATTTTTGCATGGTCATTGACTCTGTTCCCAGAATACATTCCAATGTACCTAGTTTTAATACTGGATAACAATGTTATCCAATTGACTTGTTCATTTTGATTGATATACAACGCCCCCTTGCTAAGTCCGGTGTGTCTGGATCCAAGCAAAAACTGCAACTTATCAGGCGTCGCGACTTACCAAGTGGAATTAATGCATTGAAAAAGGATAAAAAAAACATATACACACATAGGTTTATTTATACCGTAGTATGTTTTCGTTATTGTAAAACATCACAACTTCACACGATCTCATCATTGTCAGATAAGTTTCGCACATTTTCTGTTCAGTCTGCCTGTTGATCAACTTTGAATAATGGTCTCACTGACTGCTAGATCTTGTGAACCCTTGACTTCATCTCACCTTTCTTTATACAGTCGTTCACTGCGAGTTTTTTACATACGAACAATTATATCAAACGGCACCAACTGAGAAATATGCAATGTTTGCAACTTGACGCTCCGTCGATACCTTGAGGCGGGCCACCATCACCCTTTGTATCTCAGTAATTGATGGACAGTAGATATCTCCTCCCACCCTTCAATGGTCATTTAAATACACCATACAACAAAACATTTAGTTCTTTTACTTCAAATCTGTCTGCAAACACAATAGAATTTTTGGGAGCCATCCAACTACCCGCGACTTAGCCAAAATCGTGACTTACTGAGGCGCTACTTAGCGAGGGGTCACTGTATACATGTATCAAAACTAGGGAGATCAACTGTATCAATTTAACTCAACTGTACGAGTTTCTTTTACACTGCCCACATTTAGCCAAATAGTGTCGTCTTCTTAAAATGGTTTGATCCAACAGTTTGATCTTTAGGATGCATACAGCAGAACAGTCAGCCGCTTAGCTGGCAATATTGCTGTTTTGGTGAAGAAAAACTATATAGCGGTGATTGACAGTGTGCTGATATATTAGGGATTCTGAATAAAAACTGAATGCCGAATCCCTAAAATTCAAGCTTAGTATTAAAGCTTGTTGACTACTGGGGAGTGGGTGATATATTTCCTTCAAATTTCTGTTGCATCAATGACATGCCAGTGAATAACTAGTAGAATCACAGCAATAGTCTGTGTCAGTGACACATCATGTCAGGTTAGAGGGTACACTAGTGATGGAAATAATTTATTGCAAGCATTGTCAGTCATGAGGATTATGCAGAAATCTCCACATGCTGCTTTTAAACTTGCCATTGAATGGAGTATTTTTCTTACAGATTTGAAACCATATTATAAACTACATATGTGTTTGTGTTTGTCTTGTTTACCATCAGATTAGGAAGTGTATTTGGTGAAAACACTCAACCAAGTCGTGCTGAGATGTCAGATTTCTGGGCTGCTATAAGATGGAACAACGGTCATCAAATTGCATCCAGGTGAAAATCATTAATATTTCCATATATGGGCATTGTATATTTGCATAATGTATGATGTCATCATACTACTGTTATTATTTACCATGAATTTTTGTGAACCTGGTAACAATGAAAAATTATATATTGATAAGTTTCATTTATAATTTGCAAATTTGTGAGGTACCATTCGCTAGCCACTATCATATATTACTGGCCTAGAATACCGGTAGACATTTTTGCAAAAGATCATTTGTTTGACTTAGACAGGGAAAACTTATTGGGGCAGTAATAATTTTATTTCATGATATATTATAGACATGAACTTTAATCCAAAACAATCACTAAAATCATTGGTTATTAAACAAAATTCAGCTGAACTTTTGTGAGAACTCTGCATAGCAATGCGATATGTGCAAGTACATGGCAATGGTCAGTACAGGATCCAGCAAATAGCAAAATATAGTCCGGATGTATCAAATTTTTGTGAAAGTTGAGACACATTATAAATAAACCATTGTGGATGGGCAATGAGAAATTTAGTTAGATTTGTAAACAATAGTCACTCAGTTACAAAACTTTTTTTTCCTGGAAGGTCGGTGAGTTGGGGATATGTTTGTCTAAAGAATAATAATCCCCAGTACTCTCAAAATTAAATGTGTGAAAAAGTCAGGGTATGATATATACTTTAATATTTCATTTTTGTTTTTGTTTTTAGCTTAGGGAGTAATATTTCATATAATTACAAAGTGTGCATGAAACTTTAATATTGTCTCATCTTATTTTAAAGACTTCTGCAGTACATACCAGAAAGACATGCTAACAGAGATCGATGGGTTGGTGTCTTGCAAACCACCAAGGTTCCTGGTAAGTTTCTCATCTGTGTGTGTTTGTCATGTGCATATAGCAAATGCAAGAGGTATATAGTGAAGATTTTGTGAAAGAAAGAACTCTTTTTTTTTTTTAATGCTGGTATCTTTATGTCATGCAAAACAATGGTATTTTTATTATATGTACAGCTGAGTTTCGACAACAACTACTGACATAGCCAGTATTTCACTAACTTCATTTTGTTCGAAAGATCATATTAAAAGCATTGTTTGACTGTGACAGTGAGACTTTGCTTCATCAGAAAACAAGCAATATTTACTGTATATATATATATACCTGTTAATTATAACTTGACGAATGTTTTATTCCTTGCTTTGTAGTACAGTTTTTCATGGTTTTAGTGCATCACTGATCCTAATAAAATGCAGTTGAAGTGTTCTGATGTTACGACTCCTAATGTGAAATGAGACAAACATCACTGAATTCATTTGCTATATAATACCGTGTCATATTTTTCAGTACATGTTATCTATGGTCCTGCTGATCCAGTCAATCCACCAGTCTTCCTAGATAGATATCGGTAAATACCAGAGTATATATATTATAATGTTACCGGTACTTCATTTATTATAAACAAGACCACCTGATTCAAATCTATTTCTATGTTTTGAAATCAGCAAATCAATCCACTTTGATGGTTGTTATTCATTCCCACAAAAAATGAAATTTGCATTGCCAAATCAATTCTGGGGGGATAAAAATACCAAATCAACACTTGTATACTAGTCGTACTGTTTTTAATATGCTCCTATATCTGCATATTTTATTGTCCACGTAGCGCTTGTAAAAGTACCAGTATGTGAAGAAAAAAAATTCTTATTCGAAAAGTTCTGTGCTAAATCCTTGAAATTGTCACCAAAGTTATACATGTATTGTTATTTCCAGTGTACTCTTTATGTATATATTCTCACAATGAACCTAACTCCTTTAATTTTGCAGGGAATTGGTGCCACATGCTGTGATCACTGTCTTGAATTCTCATATCAGTCACTATCCACAGTTAGAAGATCCTACATCAGTGATGACGGCATATTTAGGATTCTTAGAGTCAAACAAACTTATTTAGTTTGTCCACACAAAGTAGTTACTGATTGATCAAAACACAAATGATATTACTTGCATTTATTGCAGCTTATGTAGATTCTTTATAAGATAGTTATGACAACCATTTTATCCTGCCCAGAGCCTAGATATTAACATTGAAAAGACCCGGGGAATTTGGATACTTCAACTAATGTTGGCATTCAGTATGACAACACTGACTCTGTTCAGTCTAGGAAACTTGTGTAATCCAATCATTGATGACAAATTTGCCTGCTGCTTGGCAGGGTATCTTATTCAAAGTCAGCGGTCAATTGATTTTTGAATCGACCATTTTGGCAAGGTTTTTAGGAGTAGCAAATGAGAACATCAGAATTAATTGTCTTTATTAGAGTCAGTGTGTCCTACAAGACGTACAATATTTAATTTCTCAAATTCAGACAGAAAAGATCCTCATTAAATACCTAAATCTAGCTCTAACATTTGAATCTGTAAATAAATTTTTTTAAATTACTAGTACCGGTA